ATTTCCATGATTTAGTTATTGTGAGTTATGCTGCAATAAAAATGGGTATGTATATATGATTGTAATATAATTCTTTAATTCTTTCAAAATATATCCAGAAGAGGTATAGATGAGTGAAATGGAATTTTCCTTTTCATTTTTTTGAGGAATCTCCATATTTATTTCCACAGTAGTTGCACTACCTTATATTTCCACTAACAACGTAGGAAGACTCCTTTTCCCCACAACTTGCTAACAGTTGTTTGTTTGTTTGTTTTTCAGTCCTTGACAATATCCATTCTTACCAGAGTAAGATGAATCTCAGTGTTGTTCTGTTTTGCATTTTTCTAATGGCCAAAGATGCTAAAAAATTTTTCATGTGTTTACTGGCCATTTGTACTTCTGAGAAGTGTCTATTCATTTTAATTGCCCATTTCTTGATTGGGTCTTTTACTGGGGGAGTCCTAATTTTTGAATTCTTTATATATTCCAGATATTAGTCCTCTGTCTGAGGAGTAGTTGGAAAAATTTTTTTCCCAGTCTGTTGATTGCCTCTTCTCTCCCTTAGTTATTTTCTTACATCTATGTAATTCCATTTGTTGATTATTAGTATTATGTCTTGAACAATTGGTGTTCTGTTCAGGAAATCCTTGTCTATTTATATGTCCTTGCCTGTGCAAATTCAGTGTTTCTGTTTTGGTTTTGGTACCAGGGGATTGAACTCAGGACCTTGCACTTGCAAGGCAGGCGGCGGAACCACTGAGCTAAATCCCCGGCCCAGTGGTTCTGGTTTAATATCCAGGGCTTTGTCCCATTTTGATTTTATTTTAGTACAGGGTGAGAGATATGGATCTAGATTCATTCTTCTGCATGTGGATAATCAGTTTTCTCGACATTATTTATTAGAAAGGCTTTCTTTTCTTGAGGATGTTATTGGCTCCTTTGTCAAAGATCAGATAACTAAATGTGCCTGGTGTTGTTTCTGCATATTCTATTCCATTGGTCAACATGCTGTTTTTATTACTGTATTTATTAGCTTTATAGTATAACTTTTAGTTTGGGATTGTGCTGCTTTCTGCTTTCCTCTTGTTGCTCAGGACTGCTTTGGCTATTCTGGGTCTCTTCTAGTTCTATATAAATTTTAAAATCATTTTTCTAGTTCTGTGAAAAGTACTGGTAGTATTTTGATTGGAATTGTATTAAATATATATATTATTTTGGTAGTATGGCCATGTTGATAATATTAGTTCTGTCTTTCCTTGAACAGGAGATGTCTTTCCATTTTCTAATGTCTTCTTCAGTCTTTTTTTCAGAGCAATATAGTTTTCTCTTACAAAAGTCTTTCACTTCCTTGGTTTGGCTATTTCCTAGATATTTAAATTTTTTGAAGCTATCATTAATGGGATTGTTTTCCTAATTTCTATCTCAGTGGGCTCATTATTGGTGTATAGAAATGCTATGGATTTTTTTTGTGTGTTTTTTTTGTATCTTGACACTGACCTGAATTCATTTATTAATCCAAGAGTCTTCTAGTAGAGATTTTTAGGTCTTCTACATAAAAGATCATGTCCTCTGCATAAAGGATAGTTTGACTCCTTTATTTCCTATTCAAATATCTTTTTTTTTTTGAGACAAGGTCTTGCTATGTACCCCAGACTGGCCTTGAACTCATACTGATCGGTCTATCTCAGCCTCCCAGGTGCTGGGATTACAGATGTGTGCCACCATCTCCAGCAAATTCCTTTTATTTTATTTTCTTGTTTGATTCCCCTAGTTTAAAATTGTTAACACTATATTGAACAGAAGTAGTGAGAGCGGAATCCTTACCTTGTTCCTGCTTTTAGAGGAGCTTTTCCCCATTTAGCATGATGTTGACAATGGGTTTGTCATAAACGCCTTTCACCAGGTTAAGGTGAGGTCATTTTATACCTATTTTCATTAGGGTTTTTACCATGAATGGATATTAGATTTGCTAAAGGCCCTTTTGTGCATCTATTGAAATGACCATGTGATTTATATCATTATTTCTCCCTATGAAGTGTATTACATCTATTGATTTATTTATGTTGAACTATTCTTGAATCCCTGATCACAATGTATGATCTTTTTTTTTTGGCACTGGGGATCGAACTCGGGTCCTTGAGCAATGTATGATCTTTTTAATGATTTGTTGGATTCGGTTTAAGTTTAATAACATTCTCTTTCAATTTCATGCAAGAGTTTCATGAGTATTAGAGTTAGTTCTTCCTAAAGTTCGGGTAAAATTCAGCAGTAATTCCATTGCATCCTGGGTTTTTCTTCTTTGGCAAGGTTTTTATTACCGCCTCTATCTCATTGCCTGTTATTGCTCTATTTAGGCTTTTTATATTTTCTTGGATCAATTTTGATAATTCATATGTGTCTAGGAATTTATCCATTTCTTCTAGATTCTCCAGTGTATTGGAATATAAGTTTTTGAAGTAGTTTCTTTTTTGTAATTAAGTTTATTGGTACATTTTAGGTATACAATGACATTCATCATTGGGAACTTGTACCTTTACATAATATATCTTGGTTCTTTTTTTTTTTTTTTTTTGGTACCAGGGATTTAACTCAAGACCTTCCACTTGCAGAACCACTGAGCTAAATCCCCGGCCCATTGGTTCTTATTTTTTCCCCATTCCCTTGCCCTTCCTTCAACCCTTCCACCCCTCCCTATTTACAGAGACTTTGCTTCCATTTTTTCCTTTTCTCATATTTTTTCCTTTCCCTTTTTTCCTCTACCCTACCCCTCCCACTTCCCCTTCCCCTTCCCCTTTAGACCTTTTTCAAAGTAGTTACTTATAATCTAGATTTCAGTACTATCCATTTTGATTTTGTCTGTTTCATTTCCAATTAAGTTGACATGAATCTTTCCTTTTCTTTTTTGGTAAGTTTACCTAATGGTTTGTTAATTTTGATTAATCTCCTGCTTCAGCCTCTCATAGTGCTAGGATTATAGGCATGCACCACCATGCCTGGCTCACTGGATTTATTTTTAGAAACACACTCAAATACTATAACAAAACATAAGCAATATTGTCTATAGAAGAAGCAAGCAAATATTATGTTGTTCATACAAATGAAGAACTGATTTTTAATTCAATTTAGTTTTGTGTGTGTGTGTGTTTTATTTTTGGTACCAAGGATTGAACTTGGGTCCTTGAGCTTCCGAGGCAGGCGATGGAACCACTGAGCTAAATCCCCAGCCCTTCAATTTAGATTTTAACTACTATATGTGGCTAATGCCTGTTATATTGTACAGTGCAGCTCTAGAAAAAGAGAAGTTATGCACCTTCATTATTCTGTGCTATTTAAATTGGAACATTCAATTTCTTAAGGTAAGAAATGAGGTGGAAGGTATTTTATAGAGTGATTTAGACATACTTCAGTGCATTTGAAGAATGATGGTAAAGAAACTAGATACTGTATCATGCTAAAATTAGGTCAAAGAAATTTGAAGAACCCTTTGTATAAAATGATTAATCACTTAGGCAATTAATGATGAAATGGTTAGAGAAATAATTAGATTTATTTTAATGTTTACTTTAGGAAGAATTAGAACCAAAGGGTAGCTCGATACATAGAGTAAATTTGTGATATAAATTACCTTGTTTCTATGTTACCTTATGCAGAGGAGTCCAGTCCTAAATTGGATGACCTGGTCTTTGCACTGATGCTATAGCATTACAATTTCATTTCCTCTCACTGAAAAACATAGTCCAGCCAGGTGCAGTGGTACACACCTGTAATCCCAGAACTCAGTAGGCTAAGAGTTTAAGATCAGCCTTGGCTACATAGTGAGTTCAAAGAAAACCTCAACAACATACTACATAGCAAGACCCTGTCTTAAAAAAAAAAGAAGAAAAGAAATACAAATGTGAATCATTCTTGAAAACAATATTCTGACTCTTAGTAGTCAGAATATATTAATGGAAAGGGTGATTACTATTATAATAAGAGGAAGATGCAAAAGCAAAGTTTATGAAGTCATTTGAGGTCCTCTGCAGGGATCTCATATTATGCCATCATACTTTTAGGGTCAGTAAATGTCAAGGTTTCAGGGTCTGTATACTGACATAATAATACTAAGTTGGTTTCTCTCGATGAGCTTGTAGATTTTGGATTGCGATCCTTGAGTCCTAATGGAATCTAGAGAACAACTGGTTACCAAGTTTCAAGTAATTTTTCTAAGCAAAAATATTACTTTGTTTTATCCTTTTATTGGTACATTTTAGATGTACAATATAATGACATTCATCATTGGAAATTTGCACCTTTACAT